TTAGTGAAGTAGAAAGACATAAACAATTGCAGGGTTTTACAACAACTGAAAAGTTCTGTCCACGATCTAAGAAACAGTTTTCCCATTTTAGAGTTTCTATAATGAAGAAACCTTTAAAGTATACTTTAGTTTTGTTTTTTAAAGCAGAGTAAGGTCTTTTCCAATACTTCTTTGAAAAAAAGAAACCCTCATCTGCCCAGAAATTCACCTGGAGGCTTACTACAAGGGCCCCCTACAGGGCCAGCAGCAAGGTCCCCAACAGTTTCAGCAGAGCCTGAGCTCTCCAGAGCAACATCATGACGTGTGCATGACTCCAGCAGGGACAGGTCCATCCCCAGCCTGACCTTCCATCATCTAAACTGACGTAATTAGCAGTGACAATGGGTTTTCCACCCTGTACACTGCTGCACTGCAATCTCTACCACAGGAATTCCAAAGACTGTGATGAGATTCCAGGATTTTTCACAGAGATCATTTTCTATCTTTCCTTTCTAACTAGGTGAAGTCAACTTAATGTACATTCTTGAAAGCCAACACAGGCAACTGGAATCAACAGCTCACTGAGCAAGATCTAGCTCTCCTTCTCCCCCCAAATCCCTAGATCTGATCGCAAAGGTAGATGGCACATGGGATCAGACTGAAAGAGGAAACCAGCAGGTAGGAGCGTCTGTGGTGCTCCTTTCTAGAAGACACAGTCTGGAAACAGAAAGAAATTCCACCAAGACAACCATTAGAAGGATGAATCAATTTCTCTCACCCCATAACTCACCAAGCATGAACAAGCAGGTATTTGTTCTCGGTGGGAGGAGTGAATGTGGGCACCAGGGGCAGAGGTGTACTGACAGTCTGTCAAAAGTAAGACCAGACACCAGGCCACACTCTGCTCCTCTCCCACATACACTGGAGGCTACCCAGACATTATATTCACAGACAATTAGGGAATCTCAAAAAAAGAGATAAACACACAACTAACAATCCCCAAGCACCTAAGAAACATGGGCAGCATGAGAGAGGAACCAAGTGCATCAAACAGAAGAATTAATACCCAAGAAAAATCATTTAATGGAGCATTTCCAGAAGTGTGAAGCTATGCTTCACAGGATAAATGAAATGTATAGCCCAACAAAGAAAATAAAATTAAATTCACATCAGACTTCACCCTGGCAACTTTAGAAGCAAAAGGTGACAGGAAAATATCTTCAAAGTTGGGAAGAAAATGACTCTCAATATGTATTTCTATACGCAGCCAAAGTACAATTCAAATGTGATGACATTTTTAGACAAAGACTTGACAAACTTCTCACAAATCATCTCTAAAAAATTACAAACAAAACAAAAATAATCTAAGTGAAAGACAGAAAGGTGAAGACTCAGTGGTAAACCAAGAAATCAGTAAAATTAAGTCCAAAATTAAATATTTTTATAAATAAATAAAAGCAAATAAAAAATCTTTTACTCAAAGGAATGTGAAAGCGAACTATAGTTGTTTGTATGGTAGAGGGAATGATACAAATATCAATTAACTCCAGACATTAAGAGTAGACACGAATACAAAGAAACGGATTGCACATCTTGCAAACCACTGAAGGAGGAGCAAAGAAAACTTGAATAACCCAACAAAATATGGAAAAAGGTAATAATAAGGCAAATGTAAAACACAAAATAAGACAGCACAAATAAGTCCAAACATTCCAGTCAAAACAAATATGAATGGATTAAATTCACCTATTAAAAGTCTGACTCACAGATTACAGACACAAAATCCAGCTACATATTATTTAAGGAAGATAAATCTAAAACAAAATGACGAGTAGGATCGAAGGCAATAAGCAAATAAGTGCAGTTTCACATTGCTAAAAGCTATAGCCCACCATGTAAAATAAATTATATAAACTTTTATATACCTAACACAGCTTGAAAATAAAATGTACTAAGCAAAAACTGACTAAAATACAAACTTCACAGATAAAAGTAGGAGACTAGCATAATTCTCTCGAAGATAACAGATTAGAATAAAAACATAATGACACAAAGGAACAAATTACATAATTAACAATCTTAATTATGTATAAAAATTCTGTACATACCAAAAATTTTAATCACACAGGGAATAATAACCAAAAATTACTATGTATTAAACCACACAGAAAATCTAAAAATATTCCCAAAGTAGAAACCAATCAGGCATATCTATTGACTGTAATGTACTAAAATTAGAAGTTAAAACCAAATGGTTAAAAGGAAAAATAAATGTATCCACTCTGAATTTTTAAAAAACAAAAAAACTAAACAAGAAACAAAGCAGAGGGCTTCCCTGGTGGCGCAGTGGTTGAGAGTCCGCCTGCCGATGCAGGGGACACGGGTTTGTGCCCCGTCTGGGAAGATCCCACATGCCGCGGAGCGGCTGGGCCCGTGAGCCATGGCCGCTGAGCCTGCGCGTCCGAAGCCTGTGCTCCACAATGGGAGAGGCCACACAGTGAAACCCCTGGGATGTTACCAGAGATGGAGGGAGAAGGCAACATACAGCCTTAGATGTAAATATTTTGTTAGAAATCAGGACAATAAGGGAAAACAGCTTTCAATTCAAGATGCTAAAAAAGAAAAAAGAAAACAAAAAGAAAACTCAAAGGTCCTAGAAAGAATTAATAAAAATGAAAGAAAAAGTAATGATACAGAAAACAAACAGTATAGTTAAATAAAATCAAAATCTGATTCTTTGAAAATAATAATAAAATACACAATTTCTGAACTAAGTTTCAATGTTGAGGACCAGTGTACTCAAAAAAAAACTTACCTATAAAATTGAACCGAAGTTGTTTTATTTAGTAACATCTGATAATTTAATTAAATGACAGATTCTAGTATTTATTCCCAACTAATTTTGCTAAATATCTGTGAAAAATCACTGATTTTGGCATAATCAACTAATACTACATTAAGAGAGAGATAACTTTCCATTTGTTTTTTTAAAGCAATTCTGTAGTAAATTCAATCACACAATTACACAAAATGTATGGAAATAAATACAAATAAAGAAAATGACCTCCACCCAATTCTACTCTACCAACGTAAGTTAACCATTTATCAGACTGGTGATTATCCTTCTAAACGATTTTCTTTTCCTTTTTAAAAACTTGTTTAAAGTTCTATTATGCAATATTTATGATATAAGGGGAGAAAAAAAGAATATTACAAAGAACATCTGCAGATTCACTACTCAACTTAGGAAATAAACATCGCCAATACAGAAACCCTCTAGATATGCCTGCCCCTTGGAAGTAACTATTTTGATCTCATTGTGTTCTTCATACTTTACTGCATGTGCGTGGACCCCTAAACAATATATCATACTGCTCTGCAGGTTTTAAACTTTCATATAAACGTTATAATACTGTACGTATTCTGCACTCATTTTTTCACTTAAACAAGTTTGTGAACTCCAGCCATGCCGACATAGCTTATTAATTTTCACCACGCTATAGCTTCACCACATGCATAACGAACAATTTATTCTCCTGCTGATGCATAGTCAATGCTGCTGAAAACATTCTTTGAAAATCTCTTGCGTACACAGGAAGCAGAACTGCTGGGTCTCAGGGTGTGTACATCTTTAACTTTACCAGGTATTGACAAACTGTCATCTACAAAGTACAAGAGGTCCTGATGTTCTATAGTCTTATCTACACTTGGTTTTGTCGGACTCTAGTTTTTCTCAATGTGAAAAGTAAGAAAATATCTTATTGTGGTTTTAATTTGCCTTTCCCTGATTATTAGTGAGGTTGGACATCCTTTTCACGTTGAGACATTTATGTTTCCTCTTCTGCGTATTCTGGGTCTCATTTTCAGATTAGAGCCTCTCCACTAATCAAAAATCTCTGCCTCAAATATTCTAATGAAAGACTTTAGTGAAGCCTGGTTATCTGTAGTGTGCAGAAACCATTTTTAACCCTTTCTTTTCCAGAACACATAGTCTAACATGAAAAACAATGTCTTGGTGTACAGAGTATTCAGTGTAAGAGCAGCACTCTTCAATGTGTGTCTTTAATCTTCTATAACCTGCATTTTAAATGATCAGAATGCAAACGGAAGGCTCGTATCTATGAAGTCTGATATCATGTGCATGTAATATTAGGGCACATTTTTCCAAGACTAAACCTAAAATTTTAAAAGCTGACCACACCTTCTGATTAACAAATCCTTAAAAATTGAAAGTAAATTCCTAAATGACCTTCAAAACAGATATGAACCCAAGGGGACAAAGTTGACACAAACTGAAAACCAATAAACCCTTCTACCACAACTAAATAACTCATGACAAGTGAGCGAGAGTGTGAAAATGTGCTGGAGTGAAGGGAGAGGGTCAGTGGGAATGCCAAATGCTACCACTATTCTGGAATCCACCACACAGCAGGCACTCTGTATATCAATTTCCTATTCTGTACAACGAGAGGGACAATAACCACCACACAGTCACTGTGAAAAGTAAACAAGATAACATACGATACCTGTATCTGATCTAATTCTATTTTATGGATGAGGAAAGGAAGCAGAGAGAGGTAAATACACTGTTCAAGGTCACAATAAATGATTCCAATGCCCCAGTTCTTCACACTGCACTGTCATATTCACAGTACCTGTCTAATATGGGTCTCGTGACTGTTAAAAAGTATTCACAGGAAGGAGATGACTAGAAGTATCTCAGAAGATAGGAAAAGTACTCAGACCTTAAAAAAAATTAAAACGGGCAGATGACAGGTTACCTTAGCAACTTACTCATTTTCCTTTGTGCTGACAAATATACTTTAGACATTAGCCATCTAAAAGGTAAAATAAACTCATTGCCAGCTTTAGAGAAACATGGCATTCGTGAAACCCAATCTGTTAACTAAGACCATTTAACAGAAATTCTCTTAGAAATTATTTTGATACCAACAACAGATTTGACCAACTACACTCTAGCCAGGAGAATTCAAGAGGGCAGATACTGGAAGGTTACCTACCTACCGCAGGTGCATCATACTCATCACCAAGCAGAATTTCTGGTGCAGAATATGCAAGAGATCCACAGCTTGTAGTGAGCTTCTTCCCTGGTTGAAACTTGTTGCTGAAACCAAAGTCTGTCAACTTTACAAGACCCTGTTTTTCAAAGAAGACCACGTTCTCGGGTTTTAAGTCTCTGTGAACCACATGGAGTTTATGGCAATAAGATATGGCATGAACTATCTGAGCAAAGTACTTCTTGGCCAAGTCTTCATTAAGCCCCTCCTCGTGCTTCATTATGTAATCGAACATGTCTCCTCCATCCCCAAGTTCTAGAATAAGATATAGTTTGGTCTGGGTGTCAATAACTTCGTAAAGGCGTACAATGTTGGGATGCTGCACTAGTTTCATGCATCTCACTTCTTGGAAAAGATGACCAGTGGCTAGACTGTCCAATTTTGTCTTGTCAATAACTTTTACTGCCACTTTTTCACCTGTAAAGACATGCCTGGCAAGTTTAACCACTGCAAAATGACCTCGACCCAAGGTTTTATCCAGATCATACAATCCAGCAATCTTCCCATCATACCCTCGCTTGAATCCTGCCATGCTGGTCCAACGGAAGAAAAAATATTTAGACGGTTTAAAATGGATCTTCTCATATATCTGGTGAAAATAAGGAATTCATTTTCAATGTCGCCATGGACATCTACAAAAATAAGAGAAATAAAATTAAGTTTTCTGTGACGTTTCCTTTTATAGCTTCATTTTTCTTTAAATTTTAAGAGAAGCTTGAAATAAATATACTGAGACATAAAATGAGTCAGGGGCATTTATAACAACCTATTTACATATTTAGGATTTACTTTATAAAGGATGATAAATTTCATTTTGCAAACTGATAAAAAGTTAGTTTGTTGAAACAATTTTTTGGTGATGTCAGAAATAAGAAAACTGGCAAGTTTGATAAGATGTGTTTTGGAAGAATATTTTCCAAAAGTAATTTCCATTACTGTCTTAAAAAAGAAGTCAGGGATTGACAAGAAAGGGAAAACACAAAGAATATACACTTGGACAGAAACCAACAACTTTTTCCTATTATTCCAAATTAGCACTATTTCCTTTAAAATCTCTTCAATAAAGGCTTCTCTAACTCTCCCAGGTGGTATTACCTTGCCTTCTCTTCTCTGCATCTCCAAAGCACCATGGGACACCTCCATCCCAGGTGGTCTTATCCTATAGGTTTTTGTATACACCACCTTTATACTGAGACTGCAAGGTTCCTGAGGGGTCTATGGTTCTATCAATATTTTTTACTTCTACCCTCCCCTAATGCCTAGAACAGTGTTTTACATACAGCAGGTAATTAAAATTTTGTTAAATTTTGAAATGCAACTTTTTTTCAAAATGTTTACAAGGCAATGGTTTGCTCTTGCATCACTAGTGCCTAGAACAGTAAGTGGCACACAGTTAGGTGCTTATTATTTGCTGACTGACTGATACTCACTCTTCAGTCTTATCAGTTATGCTTATCTTTATTACGGTTTTCCAACTCTCAAACAAAACCTACTATGATCTGCTTACATTTCAAGAACAGACAAGCATGCATTTAAGCCATTTAACTGTTAAAGACCATTTGGCTTTAAAGACCTCATTTCATATGGAATTTAAAATTCTCATCCTTTATAGTGTAAACCTTAAAATATAGAAATAGGTTCTTATAAATGACCCTGACTCAGAAAAAATTTTAAATGTATATAATTATATAAATTAAGACATCACTTTAAATCTCACAGACTGAACTCCCACTATTATTTTTTCTGACCAAAACTTAATAGAATTAAATAACAAAATCCAGTGAAAAATACAGCCATCTCCCAAGACTAGTTCTTTCCTATTAGTGCACATTCATCCCTTCAGTGAAGCCTTTTCTAATGCTCCTGGTATACACTTTCACATTTTCAGTTGCTTTTTGCTAAGAACAGTACTTACAGCATTTACTCCACTTTGGTGAAAATATCCCAAAAAACTAAATTGTACATAAAATAAGGTAGTTTTTCTTTTTAAGCACTAGCATTAAATATCTTTAAATCTCATTTTCGCTTAAAAGAACAGAAGAAAAGCTAACATTTACTGAAGACCTACTACATGCATTTGTACAAAATGAATCAAATTGGATTGTGTCATTGGATCTTAACAATCCTAAGATTGTTAAGTATTATTTCCATTTTATAGCCAAAAAACACTTGTGTTCCAGGTACATGCTAAAGCTACGGTTCAAACTGAATTCTTATTTCAAAGCATACACCTCTTATAAACATTTGGCCACTCTTAACAATATTATATTTAGGATAATAATATCTTAAGAGGTAAAATACTATAAAAGAGGCATAGTCATTCTCCCATGCAAACTGAAATGATCTGAATCACATATCTGGGGCCCCCTCAAGCTTTTCTGTAATTGTAAATTACCCTCAGAGTAATTCTGAGTGATTTGTTTTTTTAATTGTAAATTGCCCTCAGAGACAGGATTATTAGTCTCATTTTGAGGCACAAAAATAATGAGTAACTTGGCCTAGGCTATAGGGCCAGTGTGTAAAAGAGGTGGGATTTGAACCCAAGGCTATCTTGACACCAACATCTGTGCTTTTAACCACTATGCTACACTGTTTCTGCATTAATTTCAGAAACAAAATCCTATTTCTATTAAGATTTTTTAAAATAAGAAACCCATACTATCTATGTACAGGGGCTGGAGAAAAAGCAAATTTCTTCTATACTATGTATTATCCTTGTCATCTGAGCTAATAATTTTTGTAAGATTAACAGGAAAATCCAAGTGGAAAAGTCTTGCTTTATTTGGACAGTAGTTCCCCAAAAGAAAGTTTAATTCAGGCATGTCTAATTTTCAAATATAGAAACTCTAAGCTAACTCCAGAGGGCAGAAAACTATCTTTAAATCTTTAACTTCAATTAATTATAATGGCGGTAATTACTCTTAAAATTCTACCCAAGTCTATGTTTCTATTGTATGAGTTTGCAAATGCAACTTTCGCTTTCAAAGCAAACTTCTTCAGGCTGCCCCCAAGTTACCTAATATTTTTTTTTCATCTATCACTTTAGTTTAGATGTATTCTACAGTGGCATATAAATCAGACTTTACAAGTAAATCTGAGTTTGTCTGAATTTTAACTTAATTCATTTTTTTACAGATTTTTTTTTATTACAAAAGTAATAAATGAATATACAGATGAGGGAAAAAGTCTTTTTTCAGGGTCTTAAACACCCAGAGATAATCACTATTCACACACTGTCATTTCTCCTCCTAGTACTGTGTTAGCAAAAGGGCACAATGAAATAATTTTTAATCTACTAGCAAGTTCATAGGGAAGAATCTTATAGGGTCCTTTTTTAAAAATTTATTAATTTATTTTTGGCTGAGTTGGGTCTTTGTTGCTGTGCACAGGCTTTCTCTAGTTGTGGCGAGCGGGGGCTACTCTTCGTTGCGGTGTGCAGGCTTCTCATTGCAGTGGCTTCTCTTGTTGCAAAGCAAGGGCTCTAGGCGTGCGGGCTTCAGTAGTTGCGGCACGTGGGCTCAGTAGTTGTGGCTCAAGGGCTCTAGAGCACAGGCTCAGTAGTTGTGGCACACGGGCTTAGTTGCTCCGTGGCATGTGGGATTTTCCCGGACCAGGGCTCAAACCCGTGTCCCCTGCATTGGCAGGTGGATTCTTAACCACTGCACCACCAGGGAAGCCCTAGGGTCTCTTCTTAATGACAGACTACCCTGTAATGAAATGATGCCCTCACTATCAAAGAATTTACTTTTTTTGGTACTTTTCTGGGTACACATATCCCTTGCTCATTGCCTATGAAACTACAATTGTATACCTCAAAACAGGAAGTTACATATAACTGAAAGTTGGGAGGAAAAATATCCTTGTTATTGAACATCTTTTTGAATACATTGTTTAACCCTCCTATCGAGTATCCTTGTTATTGAATCCCTGTTATTGAACATCTTTTTGAATACACTGTTTAACCCTCCTATCGAGTATATTTTGAGTTAGCATAGGAAACAATTAAATCATTTTTTGATCTTGGAGGATCTTGCAGTGCCTGAAAATCATTCTGAACACCAATGGAAAATGTTAAGATGTGGCTTATATAAAGCAAAGGTGACTCTGCACCAGCTCCAAGACATACCCTGCCAACTGCATACTGAATAATCCTTGTTATTACTGTGTTTCGTTAGGTGCTTCTTTCTCCTAAAAGAAAACACAAAAAAGATTTTAGTTTAGTTCTACTTAACTTTGCTTAAAGTTAAAATATAAACCCTCAGGCTGGATCCAGACGAACATATAAAAATGGTAAATTTGTCTTCCGTGACCCAGTCTCCCATTTTCTTTCTCTCCTTTATGAATTGCAACCCGTTCAAGGAATCTTTAATCAACAGGAAGGTCACAGTGAACAGATACATGGAGACTCGTCCAGGTAGGCAGGTCAGAAGGATTACTGCACTGGAAGAAGGAGGAAATTATAATAACGAACAACAGTAAAGTCACCATTTTTAAATGCCTCTTGGGTAACGAGCACGAATCCGCATTGCACCGAATCCTCACTGCACCGAATCCTCACTAGGAGCCTGCAAGGTAGGTACAAGGAGGCTCAACCTGCCCTGTAAGCAGCAGTCTGCAGCTCCAAGCCTGCTCAGCCTGGCTTGGGAGCCCCACTTGCCTGCAGGATGCCCTCTGGCCTCATGAAACCCCCACTCCAACAGCCAAGGAGGGCAACCTTCCCAACACACCATCCTCTAGCAGGGCAGCAGAAATCAACACCAGCACCAGAGAACACACAACACAAAACACCTTTGCACGGAGGCTTTCCATCTGATAGTAAAAAAGAAACTTTATGAACAAAGAGAACGTGAGAGGATCACTGATATCTAAGTTCACGGCACAGTGAGGGAATACTGACTGACTGAGGCAGCCTTGCAGGCCTTTCCTCAACGCTGAAATATCAAACACATAAAGTTCCAAACATTCAAACTACGCCAAGGCACTTTACACAATACACTACACAGGTGAGTTCGTCCAGGTAAGCATTAAACTCAAGCTCACAGGAGCTTGGGGAAAAGGGAGTACAAAGAGGTGGGGGAAAGCAGGAAAGGTAAAAGAAAGAAGGAAAGGTGGATGTGAAACCAAGTTTATTTCTGGGAATGAGGGGATGAAAAGAGATGGAGACACTGCTACCACACAGACGAGGCCGGCAAAGCCATGGGCACAGGCTCACTTCTAGTGACAAGTGAACCCTGGGATGCCTACCTGGTCCTTCAGCTCCAAGTGGGATACAGTAGCTCCTCCCATTACCCATGCCTGCTTCTCTTTTTCCAACAGCCAGTTTCACCCACAGTCTCTCTGGCCAAGCAGTGTGATGGTCCCGCATGGCTGAGGACTGGTTCTGAAGGCCAATGACGGGATCTGAATCCCAGCTCACCAGCCACAAGTCACTGGACCTGAGCAAAACCTGATCTCTCTGTACCATCAGTTTCCTCATTAGAAAATGTCAGTAGCAAGAGCACCTCATAGATTGTGGTGAGGATTAAATGAATTAATAAAGGTAGAGATTAAAATAAAGCCTGGCACAGAGTAAGCATTCAGTAAATACTAGCTACCACCACCACTACCATTGTTATACTGATGGTAATCTCCCCTATCCAAGCAGAAATTCTTTTAGTCTTCCACTCTACTTCAAGAGACTGAATTTACTGAGCTATCGTCTCTCTTCTGTTTTCAGAAATCTTCTACTGCTTAGTTTCCTAAAATGTATTAACTTGGAAATGGGTGCTGATAAAGAAACTAATCTCTAGCTGGGTATCCAAGTCTGATGATTTTTCAATAAAGCACCCCACAAAGATCTAAGTATTTGCTTTTCAAATGATACTAAGATGACATTCTATCAAGTCTATCCTTTTAAAAAGGACTAAATATTCCTTTATATTTTCCTATCAAAGTAACATATTCTAATAGAAAATATGGAAAATACAGAATAGGAAGTAGAGAGAATAAAGAGGCATCCACAGTCCTACCACACAAGATCAGCACTATTAATATTTTGGTGGTTTTTCTGCAAATGTTTATATACAGCTTCTTTATTTTGTTTTATAAAGGTGTGATCATTCTATATATCACTTTATATCTTGTATTCTGCTTTTTTCACTTGACCTATTATTTTCCTTTTAGTATTTCTGCTTCAATTATGAAAGAAACATCTATGCAGTATAAGACAAAATACAATCAGAACATATATATTGGCAAAAAGAGAGGGAAGTTTTTTTAAATTATCCATCAGTCTATCCTCTGTGATTATCTCTGTTAACATTTCGGACACAGCCTTCCAAATTATTTTCTATGTATAATACATGCCAGACACAAAGGTTTTAATAAAATGGGATCACACACACATAAATTGGAGGGGTGGGGGGAGCAGTGTAACCATTTTCTAAGTACTTCTCTCCACAAAACAAGTAAAGCACCACAGATTAAAAACAGACAAACAAAAAACACCTATAATTTCATCTAGGATGACCTCTCTTCGGGTTTGAGTATATATTTTTTACACCTACGCTTCTTTACAAAGCTAAGATATTGTATATGAAGTCTTATGACTACTTTTTCCTCTACTATAGGATGAACGTTTTTGCATGCACTAAGTTCTTCTAAATCACTATTTTTAATGACTGCATAGCTAAGATGACATCTTTTAAACCAGCAGAAGCACTAAATTAGGCCATTCTAAAGCAGTCTTCTTATTCAGCATGTGCTCACACATGCATATAGCTAGGCAGGACCTAAATGAAACAGGCCATCCAGGAGAGGGTGTTTATAATATGGAAATCCATGTTTGAGAAACAAGTACTAGTATGTCTTGCGAGAACACACCGATGTTCTCCCAGTTTACTAAAGAGAACAGAAGCAACTGAGGCGTGCGGGTGTGGCTGGAGAAGAGGAAGGAAGTGTGGGCGGCCCTACACATACTTTGCAAGCTGCGGAAAACAGTTGTAAAACCAGCCTCTGTTAAACCTACTGTCAAGTCGGAAGTCACCCTGTTATTCTTGTCAAAACTCACTTCTGGCTTTTCACTGACATCTTCACCACTGCAGTGTGGTCTGTATATCAAACAAAGGTCTCCAACTCACACCTCTCCCTAGGAGAGGTGAGGAAGAGCACACTGAGCAAAGGTGGCTCCGTGTGGATACTCATTATCAACCAATCCATGGCATGAGAAAGCCGGTCACACAAAAAGGACCATGTGTAAAAATCAGGCTACTTCTATAGCCTCCCTACACTTCGGGATATTACAAATTCCCCCCCAAACCAGACCACGAATATTCAAATACACAAAAACCTCCCAAACAAATTACATGCTTGAAAAAGAGTATCTGTGCCAATACCCTCCCTCCAATACATACAGCTAAAAGATGAGTTTTTATAAAGCCACGCTAAAACTGCATTTAAGCTTCTTATACATGGAAATTATCTGGTATCTTTTACAAACACCAAAAAAATGAACACTGTTACTCTTACTTAGGGGAAAAAAATGAACACTGTTACTCTTACTTAGGGGAAATATCGGACTAAACGTATGTTTAGAGAAAAGCCAACTTAAGTGAAGGAACTAACACACTCTCCATGAAAATTACTGCCCTGATCTAACTGCTAAAATTTCAAAGATACCTATAACAAAAATGGTATAGGCTGGAAAGAAGACAGTAGACTCAATCCTCCAGGAACATCAACAACCTCCAGATCAAGCTTATTTTTAAACACAACCCCAGTGGCAGTCACCACTGCTGCTCCTTTCATCCAAAGTAAACAACATTCCACATTTCTAGAACAGCACTCCTCCTCCTGGGTGTTAACAATATAAGCTATAAATCAAAGATGAAGAAACCAGGGAATTCCCTGGCGGTCCAGTGGTTAGGACTCTGCGCTTCCACTGCAGGGGGCACGGGTTCGATCCCTGGTCGGGGAACTAAGAAACCACATGCAGCGGGGCACAGCCAAAAAAGAAATTAAAAAAAAAAAAAAAAGAAGAAACCACAAACAGGTCAACACGTCCCAAGTTACAGAAGAATCCACAGTTCTTCACTGGATTGGCTGAATATTACTATGTGGGTATCAGGTAGCATCAGTCTGTAGCCACTGAATGGAATCAAGATGGAAACTACAAATTAGAAGATTTCAGTCAACCATTTATTGAGAAATGTCCCAATAGACAAAAATGTACCTCCAAATGTCTAATAAAGTATTTTTCAAGGGAAGGGAACTGCCTATTGAAGTATGTTCTGCAAGTTTTCTTCGAGGTAGTCAATTTTAATGGACTCAGGGCCACTGAAGTAACCAGGAATGCCAGGCTGAAAAGCCTGCTCCAGTCTCTTGAGGCAGTGACTCGGTTGCCAACACAGATCTATCACTTAAAGTGCTGGTTTAAGTAATCTTTATTTCCTCTAAGTAAACAAGCTATATTCCAGGACACATCAAGGAATTTTTGAATGAATTCAGGAGTCAGGCAATCCATTAACTGATGGAAAGCAGCAGTTAGTATTTGTAGAAAAAAAAATCCAAGCCACAAAACCTGGAGCAGCAGCACAGATAATAAGTTCAAATTCCTAAACAGAACTGCCTCTCATTAAAGTGACGAAAAATGTTAATAAGCAGGCTTCCCTGCTGGCGCAGTGGTTGAGAGCCCGCCTGCCGATGCAGGGGAGTGGGTTCGTGCCCTGGTCTGGGAAGATCCCACATGCCGCGGAGCGGCTGGGCCCGTGAGCCATGGCTGCTGAGCCTGCGCGTCTAGAGCTTGTGCTCCGCAACGGGAGAGGCCACAACAGTAAGAGGCCCGCGTACCAAAAAAAAAAAAAAAAAAAAAAAAGTTAATAAGCATGTCACCATTTCTATGGTGATGGTAAAGTGAGATTTAAAAAATTAGTATGGTGACAGCCCTGGTATAAAGTGCCCACATAATAAATAATGACCTAAGCACAAGCTGGTATGTAGAAATCACTCCAAAATAAATAAAGCCAACCCACAATTACTCCTTTGCCAGGAAAACAGAATATAAATTGGAAGTTATGGAGAATTTAAAAACTTAATAATCTAAATCTCTCTTCCAAAGCTTTTATTAATACTGTCAAAACTCATTTTAACTCCCTATCGTCTTTTCATCCCCCGCACTGATATTGTGACAAAGATGGTCATGAAAAAGTGGTCAAAAAAGAATGCTGGAAAAGAAGAAAAATAAATTGATCCATTAACAAAAATACTGGCACCTAACGTTTCATTGACTTTGACTTAAAAGGCAGAATCATTCGGGGATTCTCTCACACTACTGGGACTGCAAATTACCTTTCTGAAAAGCAATTTGGCAATACCTGTAACAAGAGCCTTAAAATAATTAATATCCTCGATTTAATAATCTTACTACTAGATTTATGTCTTAAAGAAATAAAGACATGAACAAATATTTATATTCAACAATGTTCAGTGATATTCATATATGAGAGAAAAAAAAATCAGGGACTTTCCTGGCTGTCCAGTGGTTAAGACTCCACGCCCCTACTGCAGGGGGTATGGGTTCGAATCCTGGTCAGGGAACTAAAACCCCACATGCCGCACGGTGTGGCCAAAAAAAAAAAAAAAAAAAAAAGTATATCTATCTATCTATCTCAGAAATAACCGAAAGGTCTACAGTAAGGAAATGGTATACCCAACGTTAACACTATGCTGCTATATTTTTAAGCTATTTAATCTCATGGGAAATTGTCACAATAAAATATTAAGTAAAAAAATTCACATACCAAATTTCATGGCCATAGGATCCCAATTTCTTTAAAAGCATATAATTTGTCTGCATATATACTAAAAATACCAAAATGTTAATTGGTAAAATTGTAGTTTTCTGGGGCTTCCCTGGTGGCGCGGTGGTTAAGAATCCACCTGCCAATGCAGGGGACACGGGTTCGAGACCTGGTCTGGGAAGATCCCACATGCCGCGGAGCAACTAAGCCTGTGCACCACAACTACTGAGCCTGTGCTCTAGAGCCCGCGAGCCACAACTACTGAGCCCGCGTGCCGCAACTACTGAAGCCTGTGTACCTAGAGCCCGTGCTCCGCAACAAGAGAAGCCACCGCAGTGAGAAGCCCACGCACTGCAACGAAGAGCAGCCCCTGCTCGCCGCAACTAGAGAAAGCCCGCGCACAGCAACGAAGACCCAAAGCAGCCAAAAATAAATAAATTTATTTTTTAAAAAAATTTATCCTTACCAAAGCTGCAATTTTAATGTACTTTTGCATACTACATTCTCTCCATTTGTTTCTGAAAAAGCATTTTTCTTCACAAGAGGATTAGCAAATGCTCACAGAATAGGAGAACAAAGGATAAAATCAAGCCTTGAAACTGTAGATTGAATATTCTCATTCTAAATGTCTTCTGTAGTACTCATAATGCTTTATACCAATAAAGAGAGAACTGTTTAACCTGTAGTTAAACAGTGAGAGGCCCGCGTACCACAAAAAAAAAACAAAAAACAAAGAAAGAGTACCACAGGACATGGAGCCCAACAAATTACTCAACTTCTGCCAACAGGCATGTCTTTTTCTATAAAACAAAGATAATCACCACCTTGGACAGTTATTATGAAATCAAAAGGCGATAATACATATTAGCAAGTTGTGAGTGGGATCAAAATCACCCCAGGATTTTTTCCCCAACTTTTCACAAATGGCTTCCGTCTCAGGAGAGTCTTATATTTTAGAGGGGTTGTATACTTACCTCCTCATCTTAGTTTGATATCGGCACCCTCACCCCTTATTGGCCCAAGAAACTGCCCCTAAATGCCTTTACTGGATATAATAGGAAGGCCGCTGCTCCACATTATTTACACCTCTCAAAGGGACAAGGAGGCTGGAAGAGGTGTTCTTTCCCCTAAATCTGCCTTCAGGAGTTCACAGGAGGCATCTCAGAGAAATTAATTTTTTTGTTTGAGCTAAGAACTGAAATTGGCCATGGTGGGAAAGAGGCCTTAGTGTGATTGGGACAGCAATCCATGCAGAGCAGAGTGTAAGAGACAAGGTTAGACAGGTAGGTAAGGGCCAGATACCCAAAGGTCCTTGTATCCTATGCACATCAGTTGACATTCCTCACATCTGGCTAGCCCTTAACCATGCTTCAGGGCCCAGCGTAAAGGTCACCTTCCTGACCATAGCCTCTCCCTCCCCTCCCACACTCCTGCACACCAGCTCCCCACGCCCTCTTTCAGCACCAGGCCCTTTTCCATTATGGCCCTCATCACAATTGTGGTTATATAATTATTTGTGTGATTATGGGATTAATAATCTGTGTCCCCCACTAGACTACATGATAAATTCAGCCCGTGTAAGACGCACGTCTGTTTTATTCAGCTCTCCATCCCAGGGCCCGCCAAGTATTGCATCTGCCCAAAATATACAGGTATACTTTATTAAATGAACAAACGAAAGCCGGCACTAAGAAGCCAAGGAAGAATCCTGAGCAGGGGAACGGCAATCAGAGACGACAGTTAAACCACTCTGGCAGCAAAGTGAACAGCAGATTGGAAGGGCAAGACTAGAGCTTGGACACAGGTAAGGAGACTAGTGAAAATGTCTCCAGATAAATGATTAAAGACTTAAAAATAAGGGCAGCCTGTACCTGGGCGGTGATGGCGAGGATGTAATGGAGGAGGCACGTTTAGCGAGTAGAATCCAGGAACTCAATGCACAGGGGGCAAAGCAAAGAGGGCAATCTAGAATGACTAGTGGAGAGTGGTAGCAGGTGGGGTCACTTACTGAGACAGGGAATTCAGGACAGGAACAAACACTTCTTGAGCATCTACTGCATGGCAGTGTAGAGTGGAAGATTCGCTTCTAGCTCTGGAATTCTATGAATGAAGAGCAATTTCAATCCAACTCATTTGGATAAAATGGGTATGGTGTCCACTAATGGGCAACAAACTAAAGTTCAGATTTTTAAAGTTTCTTCGCCAGGACACTTCTTGGGTACACTGACTATGTGTGAAGCATTACACTGGTCTGGGGATACAGAAATCAAAGAAGGGGTCTCTGGCTCCAAGGAGCTGACAGTCTTCTGGATTTGAGAAAGGTAACTCTGCACGTCAACAACTGAGAAACCAAGGCCCACTGAGGCTACGACTTGACCAGTTACATGTCCTGTAACCTACATTTCTGGAGCACTGATTTCATAATCAACATCACATTTCAGGCCAACATGTAGCTGAGGGGTTATGTGTTTAGATAGTCAGACAGACACCCCTCCCCGCAATCTTGCTGGGAGCCTGGAGACACTCCAGAACTTAAAACATCATGGTGCATGGGCAGCCAATGCCCTCCAACTCTGAAGTAACTGCTGTCGTCACATGGCAGCAGTCTGGGGAATAGGACACAACAAGGAAGGAGAGAGAGAAAGGCCTTCTTTGTCAGGAAAGAGCCTACCTGAGCAGAGGCCAAACGCTGGAGGTGCCAAAGCAGAATCTCAGGAGGCTCTGGAAGTAACAGCAGAGAAATAAATGTTCAGGAAAGATAGAGCAGGAATCCTCTTTAGTCAGGTTCCTCCCCTACCACCAGCAAGAAATGGTTTCCCACAGGATCTAAGGCCTTACCCCAAAGCAGATACACGGAAAAACAAGATAAGGAAATAATCCGCAGTGTGAATAATGCAGCTCCAGATCATCCAGAACAGACAACACACTTCCAGTGCTCGCTTGTGAGGCCATCAAGTCCGAGAGGTTGTACACCGGCTCTTCCCAAACGAAAACAAAATAAAACATGTCCCCCTCCATCCCCAAAGGTACTGCCCCATTCCTCCCCCCTCCTTTCCATAGTCTTAAAAAAATCAAAAACAGCTGCACCCTGTCTCTACCTCCTCAACTCCCTTTCACCCACTTGGATCTAAGTTCTTCCTCCACCACCTGACCTTGTCTTTTCACCCTCCCTGAACCCCTGGAGCCCCTTCCCCTTTTCTCTGCCTGGGAACTCTACCCATCCTTCAAGACTGGTTCAACCATCACCTTCTTTGTGAAGCATTCCCAAGTCAGACTGTTCCTTGCCCAGGGGTCTTGCCTATGTCTCACCACAGCATTTGATCCTACTGTTATTGTTTACCTTGGTGTAAATATAATTTATAATAGCTTGGGACTTCCCTGGTGGCGCGGTGGTTAAGATTCCACCTGCCAATGCAGGGGACACGGGTTCGAGCCCTGATCCGGGAAGATCCCACATGCCGTGGAGCAACTAAGCCCGTGCACCACAACTACTGAGTCTGCACTCTAGAGCCTGTGAGTCACAACTACTGAGCCCACGTGCCACAACTACTGAAGCCTGCACGCCTAGAGCCCGTGCTCCGCAACAAGAGAAGCCACTGCAGTGAGAAGTCCGCGCACCGCAACAGTCTCCAATCACTGCAACGAAGACCCAATGCAGCCAAAAATAAATAAATAAGTAAATAAATAAAACAAAAAATACAATAGCCTGTAAAGGCAGGAACTAGTTTTTATTCACTTTTCTACTGCTATCCTCTAACCCAGGGCCCCAAAAGTAGACAAAGGCTCCATGAATAAATGATCATAGGTTAGTTTACCTTCAAAACTGCTACAAACCACTCAACTTTTCCACCTAACTTGCTCTAAGAGCTGACCAGCACATATATGCACACTGGGAAGTATCCATATTCTAAATAGTTAGTTTTTATTCTTATAAAAGCATCTTAGCTAAAAATTCTACCTCTTGGTTGTTAGGCAAACAGCTGGCATGCAGTAAAATCAAGTCTTCAGAGCTCCTCACATCTATGTTCTTAATTCCTAAAATTCTGACCATGTGGAAAGCGTACTTGTACCCTTTTCTTCCTGGGCTGTGTAATGAGTTCTTAGGCTCAGACAAGCTGCTACAGGGGAGAAATCAAGCCTTATTTATACCAGTGCTGAGAACCTGGGCTGCTCAATATCTCCAAAATAAAGTTTTTTTTCTATTTGGTTTCACTTTCTATATGAAACATCCATAGTAAAGTTTAGACCAATAGTATTTCCTGCGCCCAGTAAAAACATGTGAAACCCTTCACTTTTAATAAGGACATTTGAAAGCCTTCATTTTAGGATTATGGGATTACATTTGACCCATAAAGTCTCAATCTATACTTCTGTTCTAGAATAATAAAAATTACATAACTTCTGAGTCCTTGTATGTTTTATACAAATGGATCTTACTGCAATAATACAGAAAAACTTACTAAAAATAGTAAAAAAATTAATACGGTGAGAGTAACTTTTCTGCACAAAAGAAAATAAAAACTGTGCAAATTTAAAAAATATAAAGGTGTCAAAGTTCCCTACATGGAAAGCCTTAAAGATGGAGTATTAAGAAAAGTTAACACAGTGCACCTGACTTTCCATTACTATACTGCTTCAATAAGTGACCTTGGGAATGTCATTTCTCTCATTTCTAGCTCTGTAAAATGGGAATGTCACCTGTTTTCCTAATAGAGACAATTAGATAGTCAAAAGAATCAACATGATTTTTTTTTTAAACTTGTCTAATTAGTATGTGTTAATCACCACTAGTACAGAACATTTCTCTCCAGGAATCCAATTCCAAGAGAAATATTTAAGCAGACGGTGAAGACAGATTTCCTTAAGGGAATGATTTTATAAATCTGGAGAGCCATATAACAAGATTATAAATTAACAAATTGATTACATAAGCCTTGACAACCCCAGACGTTTAAGTACACCGATATACATTCTGATAAATTAGGCTGATTTGGGACTAGCACCCCAACCCCATACAAGGAACCCAAACTGAGGCAACTGATGCTTGATGGGAATCAGGTGGAATCTGATCAGTATGCAGAACATTTGCAGTTCCATCACCTGCTAGCCATGCTTCACCTTTCACCATAAAACGTGAAACGCATTAAGTCAGCTTTACCACCTGCTCCTAAAACTGTGTAAATGTACTCAATTAAATGGGAGGGGAAAAAAGTAACTTGACAGTGTGAAAAATCCGATATCCTCAGACGTCTATAGGTTGAAGAACCCTACTGCTAAATCCCTCCTCTCCCCTCCAAATACTGGACTTGAACCGAATTCCCTATGAAGCTATTGAATTTTATCTGATGCAACTGTTGGAACAGCACAGCTCCAGGAACCCCCCCCCGCCCGCCCGCCCCCCAGGATAAAAGGCTGTCACTTTCCTGGATCCCAAGTCCAAGTAAAAGGCAGGAAGGTTTCTGTAAAACGGTCCAGAAAGATATCAACAGGCGATGACTATGGAAAAGAACGAAGGTTTTCCAACCTGAAAAATTCTAGCTGTCCCTCGGGAACGGCACCGCTCCTCCGTCCTTACCCCGATGCCCTTTCTCTACAGACAACAATATCCCCATTCTATTTTACGGCTGCAGTTTTAGCAAGGAACCCCCCTGCCACGCCAGATTTCCAGATTCTTTTGAAAAAGGAAAACACCTTTGGTGAAGAATACACACCGCACAAGAAAACCTGGGAGCGGAGCCCAGCGGGCGCCGCACTCGGCCCGCTCCGGGGCGGGGCGCGGGGATGCGGGCGCCTCCCGCGGTGCCGCAATCCAGCCGCGGCCGCAAGGGCAGGGCCTCCGGGCGCCCGCGGCCAGCCGCCGCAGTGCCGGCTCCGATCAGGGCCCCGCCACCGCCCGCCGCCAGGCCGCGCCGCCGCCGCGCGGGGTCGGGGCCGCAGCAGCCGGGTCCCCGCGTCCTCCCGGGCGCGCGACGCGGCCGGCGCGGGGAGCGCGGAGCGCGCAACTTACTTTCCGCCTGCGGCGGGAGCCCGGCTCCGGCGCCCGGCAACGGCGGAGGCGACTAGGCGGCGGAGGCCGGCCCCACCCCCGCCCACGGCCGCCGCGCCCGGCCGCGCTCCGCTCTCGCCCCTACCTCAGCCAGCAGGCGGGCGTCCGTCCGCAGCGGCCGCGGCGCCGACAACTCCCTCCCGGCCGCCGAATCCCCGCACCCAGCGCTAATCATAATACCGAACAGGCGGCCGTCCGCGGGGAGGGGGTGGGGACCGACTTGCGCCTGCGCGGGGCGCGCGTCACTGTGACGTGACGCCGGGGCGGGGGCGCGGGGAGGGAGGGACGGGGCGGGGCCGCGGGGAGGGAGGGACGGGGCGGGGCCGCGGGCAGGGAGGGACTGGGCGGGGCCGCGGGCAGGGAGGGACGGGGCGCACCTGCGGGCTCCGGCGCGCGGGCTGCTGGAGGGCATCCTGGCATCATCCCTACCCCAGCGAGTCTGGGCTGCGGCTGGCGGTAGGAAGCGGGCGAGGTGCCCGAACAGAAGGGATGATGAAGGAGGAAGCACTAGGGACATGGGACAATGGCCCAGAAAAGTAGCGTAAGCCGTCGGGGGAAATCGGAGGGAAGGGATCGCGTCCCCACCAGACTCTGGGTCCCGGGACGCGGGGCCGAGGGCGCCAGGCGCTTTAACCTTTTAAAGTTTCCCCCCATCTCCCGCCCAGGTTTAAGCAAGGAAAGGGAAAAAATTCAATATACATTCATGTATACACATACATATTCTTTACAGTTTCTTCTCTTTGGGAACCCAATTTGAAGGAATTTTGTTGATTTTGTTGCCATTTTTAAAAAAGAGAAAAAGCCCAGCATCCGAATGCAGCGCTGGCTTTAAAGGTCAGCCGGAGACCCTTGCCTGGCCAGGCTGCCTCCTCTGGAAAAGCGTGGAAAGGCGAAAGGTCGTGGGAAGTATTAAAGCATGTGAAGTCAGGGATTCAGAACACTCCAGGCATTAACTGTGCACTGGATGGTTCAGCGGCATGGTCACCAGGTCGGTGGCTCCCGAAGGGAACTTAGCGCTCGCCGGAGAGGAGGGTTTGGGAGGGTGGGAGACAGGAGCAGGGGCTCACGTCTCCCACCCTTGGAAGCTTGGTGCGCAATGGAGATCAGCTCTCCGGTTTTTCTGGAAGGGAGTGACAAGCCAGATGCCAGATTTCTCCAACCTGCTTTTTCCCTTAATGATTCTCCCTGCTCCCCACCCCTCCCCCAAGGAAGGACCCCTAGCAAAGAAGGACACAATGTGGGGGGAGGCGGGAGCTGCTTAGATGCTCCAAGTTTGATTAAATTGACTGGATGGAGAAGAAAAATCTAGATGGCTTTAGCAAATGTCTCTGCTGACCTGCAAATGTGAGAAGACTTTTCAGACTGTCTCCTTGGCATCTACTTTGCATGTCTGAAGACGACTGGGAAGCAAGAGTGGATTGTTGGGAGGTACAAACCCTCAGGGTAATAACAGAAGGTTAAAGGGGGACTCCTAGTTACCCTAAGGCTCTGGCATGGGGTCATGGATCATTGGCTGGGGAAAGCCTGGGGCTGTAGGCCTCAGGTGGACCTCTGCCCCTCAGGGCTGAGTCAAGGCCCCAACTCTGGGATAACACTGGCTTAGAAAGATCATAAAAGAATAATCTCACTTTGACACTGACATTATAACTCTAGCAGTATGTTAAGCAAGAGCTTCTAACTTGGTTTGTGGAATTCATTCCTTTGTTACTGGCAAACGGGAAGGCCTTGCACTTTTCTCCTTAGGGAGATATCACTATTCAGGGAACCCTGTAAACGAAGTAAAGGGAAAAAAATACCACGCTAATGGTCTCCCAAGGGAATTCCAGTGGTTGAGGACCTCCAAGCCAGGTCTGCAGCCCCTGAGATAGACCAGTAACCACAAAACAATGG